GGGGGGGGGATGGGGGGACTCGTCCCCCCAGGTTTTGGAGTGGGGGGACGAATATTCTGATTCAGTGATTTAATCATAGGATGCGATGACTTGATCTTAGTATTCAATTATTCAATCCTAAATTTCAATGATTCGATCTTAGGATTCGATGATTCAATTCTAAAACTCAATGATTCAATCTTAGGATCGGATTCAATTATTCAATGATTCAATCTTAGGATTCAATGATTCAATCTTAGGATTCAATGATTCAATCCTAAAATTCAAAGATTCGTTCTTAGAACTCAATTATTCAATCTTATGATTCAATAATTCAATCCTGAAAACTCAATGATTCAATCTTATGATTCTATCCGAATGATTCAATCTTAGGAATCAGTGATTTGATATTAGGATTCAATGATTCAATCAGGATTCGTTGACTCATTATCACGATTCAATGATTCATTCTTAGGATGCGGTGATTCAATCTTAGGATTCGATTATTCATTCAGGATTCGATAACTCATTCTTATGATTCTGTGACTCATTCTTATGATTCGACTATTTAATGTCAGGACTTAATAATCCAGTCTTAGGATTCACGCCTTGAATTTTGCGCATTGTGGAATGATCGTGCATCCTGCACATTCACTATCTCTGAAGTCTAACATTGATGAGATTCAACTGTGCATAAAAAACAAAACATTTAAGAGTGAATGTCAGTAAAAATCAAACATATGAGACATTGCGCGGCCACGACTGAAAAATCGATTTTGCTCAAATTTTGCCCAGATATACCTTATTATATCGGAAAATGCACCATATATTTTTTTAGGTCAAATGCTTTTTTAACTTTGAGAAAATGCCGTTTTAACACGACCACCCTAAATCGCCATTTTTTCTGGGAAAATATGCGCTGATTTTACAGATAAATTTCACGACGACAACCGTTTCTAATCGATCTAAAACCCTAAAAATCTTGTTTTCGGTTATTCAAAGGACGGTATACATGACTTACAGGAAATCTGAGTTACTTTTAGGAATAGATATAATCGTAGTTTTGGAGCACACTATCTTACTTCATTTACGATACCCTCTTAACAAAACCGATTTTCACCATGCGATAAAGCTCCAAATCGATCATGCTTCTACTAGTTGGCTCTTTAATAAGCAAGCTTTCAATTGACGTAAATACTTCTTTTGGCAAATGAATACGCGATAAACGACAGCGCGTTGAAATCGTCCGTTTTTGACGTCTTGCAAGTCAAACGCTGTTAATTTACGTACCGTCGAAGTAAACAATTTAATCAAGTATTTTAAGTATTTTACCTTTTGAGAAGAAGATATATTCTTGAATGGAGACTTTTTGCCTTGCTTAGTTTAAAATTGGTCCAAAAATCCCGAGATATTTGTAAAATATCATCATATACAGGTATTTTGAAATATAATATTGTTGTCAGTTGCATGACAACTTCAGATCATTGTTCAATATTGTCTACTTTTAATAGCGCAAACATATAAATCGATGAGCTGTTTAGGGATTTTATATTTGTTACTAAATTTCCCAAAATTAGACTTCAATTGACAATTGTTGTTTTGTTCCAGTTTGCATTGATCCATATAATGTACCATTTAGTATTTACATATCGACTATCGAGTATAAATGTTTACGAATACATAAGTTAATTATTAAGCAGCTGTTAATAGCGTGCGTGTGAAATGAACATTTATCCATACAAGGATTTGTTATTTTATTATATATTCTACCACCTCAAACTCAAATTATAGGCATATAGCAAATACTGTAGTTTAGAATAATGTGTGTTTACTTTGATGCACAGTTAAAATAATCAGTAAAATTACTTTATTTTGATAAACTAATGTCTATTGATCTTAGTATATTTCACAAGTACTAGTACCCAAAAATACAGCATTGAGATATGTTGGCCAAGTGCGACACCACAAATTATTACTGTCTCCCCACACGTCGCGTTTAAAGAAAGTGAAAGCTTGTTGCTCGTTTAACGCCGGATTAACCACGTGTCAAATACGGCAACTGCCGCGGGCCTCGCGCTTTACTGTGCTACGCCCATTTTTACGAGAACACGGCCATTTTCTATTGCGACACACCCGTTTTAGGTGTCTCGCGCATTTAGGGCCCCTAGGCTTGGCAGTTCGCCCTATAGCACGGCCCCGGGAAAATATGCAATACTCGTGTTCATATAATCTCTAGTTGCGTTGAGCTGTTATATTATGATCCTGTTTATACCCATCAACTGCGCCAGGCAGGCCATTATCTCGTTTATAATTGATGCAAATAAATTGAAATATTGACAAAAATTATTTAACACTGTTTTGATCAGATAAGTTTGTAATTGCGAACTTGGGACTGGGAATAGATTTTCCCGCCAAAAGAAAACATTAGAATAATTAATTAGTTTTGGTATGCATGCTAGCTTGTAGGTTGAAATTTATATCTCCGTTGAGAACTGTTTGGACTGGTTTATTCTCCGTTGAGAACTGTGGAAGCTGTCTCCGGCGAGACATATATACATGACTTGGACTTATGAGAGCCCATAGTGTAAGTACGTTAAATAATGCGTCATTTGGCCTGTTGTAATGTGGGATTAGGGGTAATTATTTATGTAAATTCATATTTTGTTCGTAGGTTCGAAACCTTATTACGATACTGTTTACGATATTGTGTGCCTCATTTAAATTGACGAAACATTTCGAATACTGGAAATTCAAAGTCCTTGTATCAAAGTAGCAAGAAAGTGAGTAAACAACGTTTGAAAGCATTTTAAA